TGTTGAGTTCAGAGATGGCTCCATGATTCCAAATCTTTCTGCCGTACCTGTTCTCTTAACATACTATTCCATATCAGCATTTCTACCGGTACTATTTTATATCTTATTATCTGACGACAACAAAATCTTACCCGTATATTTTTATGTGCTAATCACACCTGCTTTCAAACTGTCTGACGGCAAACAATGGCAACTCCAATCAGCGATTAGAAGCCTCTCGAGACAAAATAAGCCTCCAAAGCCGCACGCTGCACACGCCGCGATAGGTGACACAGACACGATCCCAACCTCCGAGGCTATCGTCGTCAACGTAAGATGATATACTCCTACGTGCCTAGGAGTACGTATGATTTTGAAAATCTATTCCAAACACGGATGTGCTGGCTAGGGCAAGTCGAAGTGCCTATTCGACTGGTATTAAAGTCGGCTGATAAGTCAGCTGAAGTTGTTTTGTTGTAAGAGAAAAATACTGTAGATTATAACTGATAAGCCGGCTGATAAATTCAAACGAACAGGCCTAGGACGCCTGTGTCAACATGACGTGGAGTCTTTCATGTCCACGAGTTAACACCTTTTTTTTGTGTCTCTTCGTAGGGCCTTTTACGCTAAACGCACTACAAACTGTGGATCGATAAATTTTAACCTCGGCAACATGTGTCGCTGTAAAAAACCATCCATATTGAGCGAGAGACTTGCATAGACATTTTTCACCATGGGCAACTGTCAGTTTAGGACACCATTTTGTTCTCTGTATATTAAAAAGAGTCTCTGTGTTCTAGTACTAATTGCAATCTCCCAGCAAAAAAGGAAAATGGATCCGCGAAAGAGAGACAGAAAAGGACCAGCATTTACTCATGGTCATGTAGTGGACAGTGGTGGATCTGGAGTTCTGAACTGGTCCAGCATGCCTTTCGCGGGCCCACATGCGCTGCACAAAAGAGGCATGTCACATGGACCTATTAGTCAGAACAGTATTTTTCTCTCATACCAAACCAGCTAGTAGTAATAATCCACGATCATATCGTATACGATCTCTCATACCAAACCAGCTAGTAATAATAATCCACGATCATATCGTATATGATCTCTCGTACCAAACCAGCTAGTAGTAATAATTCGATCATATCGTATACGATCGTTTCAGCCCCAGCCGAACAGGCTGTCCTGAACCCATGCAAACGGGCCCATTTCGACACGGCGTTGGAGCACTCTTCATTGTGTTCTGGACCTAGATGTCCCAACAAGATTCACTCAACAGTAGTATCAAGATGTTGCTCAAAAAAGAAAAAAACAGTAGTATCAAGATTTACTCAATCCAGGATACAACAGGGTAGTATTTGGAGGGAAATAGATGGGGAAAGCAAGAACTAGAGGCAGGAAGCAAGAACAGCAGAGCAGAGGGTTCTGTTCTCGTTCGGTGCTTGCCTCCCACGATGCTGATGCTTTTGTAGAGGTGAAGCCCTCTTTATCTGTCCTAGCCCGCTTAGCAGCCCGTTTCCGGCCCATCTTATGGCCTGTTGTTGTTGATTTTTAGTACTTCTCTGCAACTCTGCTGGTACTTGGTACTCAAATCATCCCCATGACAAGGATCCTTATAGAAAATCATTCGTAGACCAAATCAACTGAAACAGAATATACAGTACTGCTGTACTGCATGTCACTGGGAACAAATGTCTTCCCGGAGACCTGCAGTCAGTACCGCTATTGCAATTGCACGCCAAACTACCACCAAAGTATTTACAATTGCCAGATGATGACATTCACAAACCATCATGTATCCGTAATTCCGTGCCATGATGGTCCACTTTACATCAATGTACATTTGACACAGTTTAATCACAATAAATATTCCTTATTACTACCTTTTATAAGTGTTGCATACCTTTGCATGTTGAAAGGCTATGGTAGGTCAAAAAGCAAGTATTTAGATCTTTTTTATTCTTCACAGGGACATGATTTGTTGGATACCTAGATGACAATAGAAGAAAGTAAAATCATGGTCATCATTTACTTTAAGTGAATTTCATATATGTATAAATATTACTATTTCAAAATGGAAAGTAAGTGATTATGAAAAGTTACAAAAAAACCGACATCCAACTTGATGGTGAGAGCTCTGCACTGCTGAAAGATGATAGGGAAGAACAACCATAGCATAGATCATACACCTAAACACAAGAGAAAAACTGCCAATAAGATCATAAAATATAGGGAATTTTATGGACCCCTAGAAAAATTCACATTTAAGTCTAACTCCACCTGATACTTTAGTGTTCTGCATGTGACTTTGCATAAAGAGACAACGAGCATGTTTGCTTGTGATTGTTGTAGCAACCGCTACGATTTCTACTGTAGCATTCACTTAGCAGTAACTGTTGCCCCACCCTTTACAACCCAAGGAGATGCAGTTATGGGCTGGCCCATCCGTACCAAACACCCCCATCAATCTCGTGACTTTTCCTCTTAAAAAAGGTGTATCTAGTGACCGTAGGATCAAGATCAAACGGGCTCATCCTTGCATTGTTCTCTATATATACGTCCCTCCCCTTCCGTCGTCTCTACCTTAACCCTACCCACTCTTCCGCCGCCTCCACCCTACCCACATGTTATCTATCCAAAATTCCCCCAATACAGGTAGGATTGATCGATCAACCACCGTCTGCTACACCTATAGCCATCCAAGAGATAGATGATGGTGTCACTCATCGTCGTCTCCCACGATGACCATCGTCTTCTTCACTTGCTACGGTGAGTCTTCCACCTCCAAAATCAACAACCTTTTTTTTAAAAAAGCACCACTTGGTGCGGCCTTCACAAGAGCCCAGGTGTGGGACAGGGATCGAACCCCCACTGGCTTGCTCCTCCCTTGGAGCCTTCACCACTGGTCCAAACCCATCTAGATCCAATCTCTTGTTTTCCCACAATCCTTTAATTTCTCTCTGATCCACTAGATCAAAGCTAGAAACACCATATCCCTTTTGTTGTGCCCCCATCTTGATCCAAACTCTTTGTTATGCAGCGCCTTTGCTTCCTATGCACTCGCTTGGACCCCAAGATAGCTATATTGTTATCGATGGTGTTGAACCTTGATCTAAATTTTGGTCCCCTCTAGCCTCAATTGTTTGTACACTTACGTTGATCCAAGCTAGCTACATAATTTCCATTGATGCCCGCCTTGATCTAGAATTTCATTTTCCCCAATCACTCTTTGTTGTCTTTAACAACCAGATCCAAGGTACCAACATCATTGCTAGAGATATGTATACTTATTCTTCTTTATTTGGGAAAACAAATCTTGCGGTAGGTAAATAGAAACATCTTAAATTTAGTAAATTATGTATGTTAATAAATTTCTCTTCCCATCTGATATATGCAGGGGGAGTTGTGCATGTAGAAAATTTGAAACATGTGAATGACATAGAAGTCGCTAGATATAAAGCTATTGGAGCTACATACGCTGCAAGAGGGTATCTTTCAAGTATTTAGAACCTGATTCAACTTATGAATGGACGCCAAACAAGGTATCATAAGTGGAGCGCATATCATAAAGTTTGTAAATTTTGGAAAACATGAATGTTGAAAGTTAGATCCGAACATAATAATGGGACTGCAAACCTTGTCTACGAAAGGTATCCTTTCGTAAGGGGAGTCAGGTTCAAAATACTTGAAGAACAACTCCCCCTTGCTTTCAATTCCAATAGTGGACATGTGTGATGGTGCTTGATATCCATGAGTGTCCATCCAATTTATTGCACCATATTGGTTATCCTGATTGAATCTTCCATCATATAACATGTTGCAACCATTATGCCATCAATGATCATGTAAGCAACACTGGTACCGTAAGCTTTTATTTTTAATTTTTTCCAATTATGTACAAAAGTTTTATGCAGATACTAGTACATGTATACTTGTGCGTACCTTTGTGAAGTAGGAACATTTGTCATGTTGGTGTACAATTGAATTGCCGAAAGATGTGGCACGAAGTACTGGACCATTGTCTCATCGGGAGCGATGCACACTCATAGAACATATTCCAAAGATCTCCAAGGTAGAAACCTTTGACTCCATCTGCAATTTTTTCATAATAGCATTTTGACTGCAATTACAAATAAGAGTTCGATTTGTTTAGCTATCATGTCTTTAGATTAAAAAAAGATGCATCATATCTTGAGTACATCGTGTCTCTCATAAAAAAGGAATATCATTGGATTTCGTAGCTCTAGTGAATCGTTGTACATGAGACTATGTAAACACAAAGGTAAGCAAATGTCCGCTAATGGAGTGTTTGTTTAGTTTTTCCCGTGATAGTTTGAGAATGTGCGGCGTTGTGTAATTGGGAACAGATGTCTTCCCGGATACCTGCAGTCAAAATCAGTAACGCTATTGCACTTGCACACCAAACTACCACCAAAGTATTTACAATTGCCGCATGATGACATTCACAAACCATCACGTATGATGGTCCACTGTACATCAGTGTACATTTGACATAGTTTAATCACAAGAAATAAACGAGAATCATATGTCTAATCGATGACTAGAAATTGGGTCGGTATCTTAGATGAGATTTTACAACCGAATACATACATATTTCAGGATGACTGAACAAAGCACATACTCAACAATATCTCAGGACGAGACTGAACGGATAAGGAGATAACAAGGGAACAAGGGCAACGGGACACACGGCCACCGTTCACTTCCCCCAGTCGTTGGCGCCACCACAGCGCGCAAGCACGCACGCACTTTTCAATCAATCAATCAAAAAGGAAAAAAAGTCAGAACAGCGAGTACTCCATCATCTCCCTCCATCCCGTCAGAGCCACACGTTGAGCGAGGACCCAAATTCCATCACCACAATGCCCACAAACTTGACGCAGGGGTAGCAATGGCGAGGAGAAGCTAAACCACGCCAATCAGAGTGGCAGAGGCAGCAGCTAGCTGCTCAAACTTGAGGACTTACCTCTGTACTGTGCCTGTTCTTCAGTTGGTACAGGATGCTACACCCATTGCTCGCGGCAGTAACAGCTGCCGTCTCTTCGTCCTTCGTCTCACCGCCGCGGCGAGTCCCAGCTTCTCCAGGTCCGGGACGACGACGTCCTGGTGGCTTCGCGGTCCGGTGCGCGCCGAACGGAGGTGGCGTGACAGCAGGCGCCGACACGAACTCGAAGCTCAAGGTGGGCTCCCCGATCGTCATCCTCGAGGCTCCTGTGATGCTCAAGACCGCCGCGTCGGTGCCGTCGCTCCGGCACAACAGCGGTCAGGTCAAGGCCGGCGACGTCGGAAGGTACTACTACTAGCTAGTGCTCTAGCTAGCACATGACAATGAACTGTATACAGTGCCTTTATGCTGGTTTTGGTCGAGCAGGATCATGGCGCGGAAGCCCAAGGACGTCTGGGTCGTGCGGCTCGCCGTCGGCTCATACCTGCTGGACGGCAAGTTTTTCAGTCCCTTGGATTCTGACAACGGAGACGATGATGAGCCCCAGGCCCACGATGAATGAATGATCTATGCCTTGACGGTTGGATCGCAAGTTTACTTACATGTCCATGCCTATGAATGATTGCAATTTGCATTGTAAGATTCATGATGTGTAACTTCTGCCGACAGTAAGTGAGCATGCATCGTATCACCAATGTAGAATTCTTGAAGTTTCACTCTCGATCGAAGTCTAAAAAGTCCAATGCGCATATGACATCAACTACCATTTGATTTTGAATCATCAGCTTCATAGAAGGGAAACTATTTCCGGTTATCAATAGACAGTTGAACTGAAGATACTTTCAACAATGTTATGGAACAATAGCGTAGTCTGTGAGTCAACTCTAAGAAGATTTAACTTTCATATACTGTTTCCAATATGACAATGTCTTGAATGGAAGCCTGGAACAGGTATTTACAAGCTTCTGCATGAGCTAAGCTAAGCCAGATACAAGAAATACAGATCAAGGAGACTTCTCAGAAGCTGACCATGATAGATTTGCCATTTCTTAGATTAGCTTCAAAACATTTTGCCTTGTGTGGTTAAGATGAAATGAAGCTCTAGCTCCACAAGTTATCTGGCTAAGAAGATGGTATGAAGCTCTAGCTCTAATTCAAGAATAGTCTATTCCTTCTTGGTCTTGTTTTCATCTGCTTCTTGCTCCTTGATCTTCTTGGGTTTAGTTAAGTAGGTCACTGCCCATACTCCCAGCAGGGTTGCTTGCAGGGGCGCCAGCCAATATACCAGTAGGTGGTCAAATGTCGTATGATCTCCTCGAGCATACGCCCAAGCAAAAGCCTACAAGCACATACCAGAACATGCAATAATCAGAAAAATGAATTTGGATTTCTAATTTCAAGTATTACATGAACCAAGACAAACAATGAATGCCAGGTATTACAGGAGCAAACATTTTAACAAAAAGCTAGTTGTCATAATCTACAATTACTGTTGCATAGCCTTTCACAGAACAAACTTTTTCAAGACTTCTATAATAAAAAAAATGCACAATACGCAAGACATCTTATAAGGCACACCATCATATAAACTGTTCCCCTGCATGATCCACTTGGCAAGTACAACATTGCATAATATTTGACAAGCCAAAGAGAAGAATGCATAACTCAATCGATCATAGTATGATGCAATAATACATGGGTATAACAGTATGCAGACTAGGAGGCTTGTACTTTTCAGATTGTTTCAGTTTGATTCATAGGGAATAAGAGTTCAAATCCAAAAAGGTTCGTTTGTATATCAAACATGTGTCATGCCTCATGTGTAGAAAAACTTACAGATGCAGGGTTCATAATCCCTCCAGTTATGTCCGAGCTAAGGATATGAATTGTGTTCTTCCAGATGCTCGTGATCCATGTCTTCATAAAGAAACTTTTCATCCCCTTCTTCTTCAGGGTCACTGACACCATAACAACCATGAAAGTTGCTAATCCTTCAGCTAACGCGCCATGATGAGCACCAACACTTAAGCGGGCTCCTTTACCCACATTAGGGAAAGTTAACTGAATGAGCTTTACTCCAAGAAGTGCCCCAATCACCTGATAACCGGAATGAATACAACAAAACTTAACAAACAAACACGAAGATCCATAAATAAATGCAGCCAAATGTCCATCACTGCATAGTGTGAGTTTGATACAGTAACAAAGTTTGACTTATGGAATCAGCCATGTTGCGATAAATGAATGTTACACTAGTATATATGGTAATAATAGCTAGACTTGGTGCGTTTTCTCTTTTTAGAAATACACTGGATTAGTTTTGAGACAACCAAATTATATAACTAGTCATGGTGATCGCTCAGTTTCTTATCGAGTTCCAGTCTTTGTTGAATGTTGATCAACCACATTCAACCAAATTACCAGATGGTGTTAGTGTTATAAGCTTCATAGGTAAAATGCACACGATCGCTTGACCGAAGACCAAATCCAGCAAATAGAAGCACGACACAGATCGCGATCGCGGATTCGCGGTGTAGTACAGGAACATCACCTGAGCTGGGATGCGCGCGAAGGCGGTGAACAGGTACACGGCGGGTCCGCCGTGGGAGGCGAGCGCAGCGGCAAGGACGGTGAGCGGGTTGTAGGAGGCCCCACCGGAGGCGGCCTCGAGCCAGGCGAAGAGGAACATGTATACGATGGAGAGCGAGACCTTGACGGCCTCGGCCTCGGGCCGTCCCGCGATGCCGAGCCCGCCGTACACGAGCAGCTTCACCAGCGCGCCCGCGCACACCCACGCGCCCGCCAGCGCCAGGTCGCCCACCACCAGCCACGGCCGGATGCGGGGGCGCGACGGCGCCGGTGACATGGCGGCCTCGGGTCGGGGTCGGAGCCTTGGAGGAGGGCAGCGGCCGTGCACGGTGGTGCGCAAGCTGGAGAGGGAATCTCGTGGCGGGGATTAGGAAGGAGGCCACCAAAGTAATCTGGGGGCGGCTCGCGTTTTATTCGCCCTCCCGTTGGTTGGAAGTGGGATCTAAAAATGGGTGAGCAAGCCTGTCAGGAAGCTGACGGCCACTATTGGTGATCCGACGACAGGGAAGACGGGGTGATGACTAAGGGTTGCTGGGCCGGATTGGGAGAGGCATTAGTTAGCCTGTTAGTCATGTCGGTTGGGCCCAAGCCCATGTAATCGGGGGGATGTTATATAACCCGAGCTCTGGTAGAAGGAAAGGCATCAAACCTGAGAAGTCTCATTCTGTAAACATTCAGTTGCTACAATTCCATTACATACAGTTAGTTGAGTTCTTCGTTTATCATCGATTGTTCTTCAATTACTCGGTTCTTAGTAGTAATCCCAGCTCACCGTCAGGCTTGATCCATAGTCTGACAATTGGTATCAGAGACCCGCGTTACTTGGCCCGATTTTGTTCTTCGTCTTGATCGCAGTGGTAATTCCAGACGGCTGGTGATCGCGAGCCGTCGCTTCGGTGTCAATTCGTGAACCCGTAGGTCCGTGTTGTGGTTCACTGGGTTGGCGAGGAGCAGGGTTGGTGTGCTGCGGGTTTGTCCCCAACTCTAGCGCCGAAGAGGAAGCCCACCAAGTTTCAGCAAGAGATGATGAAATCCGTTGAGGATCTCTTGGCGCAACTGGAGACGATGTCGAAGCAGTTCACCGGATTTTCGCCGGATTTCAGAACATGATGCGGGACACGCTCGACAAGCTCGATGGTCTGGAGTCATGGAGGTCGACTGCAGACAAGTCACTCGGAAGTTTGCTTCAGAAGACCGACGACGTGGTGACTCAGGTTGATCAGACGACGTCACGGCTGCAGGCGCTTGAGGCACCACCACCGCCGCCGCCGCCGATGACGTTCCAGACGACGTTCCACAGGCCCATGGCGCCAAGTTCTTCCGCGCCACAGCCTGGTCACCAATTCCTCCCCCGACCGATGATTCCGCCCCATCGTCCGCAGCCGCTTCCACGAGCGCCACCGGGGTGGTTGGATCTCAATACTGCACCGATCCCGTCACCGGGCGGTGATGATAGGCCCATGGGGCACGGCCTGCGATATGACCATCCGGATGACTGCGGTGGGTTCCCTAGAACTCACCCGTAGCACCCGGTCACGAGTATGTACCCAAGACCACATCCTCCCCCTGCTCAGTTTTTGCCGAGAGATTGTGATCGTGTTTCGCACTCGCGTTCCCCTCCATTCCATAAGATGGAGTTTCCTAAGTTTGATGGAACTAATCCACGGCTTTGGCGCGATAATTGCGAGATGTTTTTCGAGGTGTACACAGTGGATCAATCTCTGAAGACAAGGTTTGCCGCCCTCAACTTTAAGGGTGCGGCTGCTTCTTGGCTGCAAACAGTACAGAGGAAGGGAAGAATCATGGATTGGGACCTTCTTTGTGAGTATGTGATGGCCAAGTTTGATGGAGATCAATACCAAATTCTGTTGAGTCAATTTGAACAATTACGTCAGTCAGGCTCGGTAGCTGATTATTAGATGGAGTTTGAACAGCTTGCTCATGGCTTGTTGCTCTACAATAACAACTATGATGATATATATTTTGTGACTCGGTTTGTCTCTGGATTGAAAGAGGACATTAGAAGAGTCATTGTGTTGCACAGGCCAAAGAATGTGGACACGGCCAGTGCCTTGGCCCTCATTCAGGAGGAGGAATTGAACAAGTCAAAGAATAAGTTCCTTGGCAAGGATTATTACAGGACAAATTTTAAGGGAATGACTGACAAGGCCAAGAACATTGAAGGTGAAGCAACCAAGCAAAGGCCACAGAAAGCTGACTTTGAGGACAAGTTGGCTTCTCTGAAAGATTTCAGAAAAAGAAATGGGTTATGCTTTAAGTGTGGGGAAAAATGGGGTCATAACCACAAGTGTCATGCCCAAGTATCACTGCATGTGATTGAAGAGCTCTTAGATGCCTTACAGGATACTGAGTCTGAGCTAGACTGTGATGAGACAGCCGAGGTGGAGGAAACAGTTTTGGTTGTAGGCCATTCTGTACTGTCTGAGGGGACTAAAAGAAGAACAATGAGACTATATGCTATGATTGGAAAATTGCAGGTGCTCATTTTGGTAGACTCTGGTAGTGTGGGGTCCTTCATAAGTCAACATCTTGCCAATCAGTTAACACTACCCACCAGTGAGTGTGAACCTGCTTGATATGTGGCAGCAGATGGCAGCCCAATGATACGTGACAAAAGGATTGAATATTTGTCTTGGAGTTGTCAAAGGCATACTTTTGAGTCAAATGTTGGCATCCTTCCCCTCAAATGCTTTGCTATGATTCTAGGAGAGGATTGGTTAGAAGCCTCTAGTCCTATGTGGGTGCATTGGGGCAAAAAGATGATGAAGTTTACTCACCAAGGGAAGAGAATTTTGCTGTAAGGTCTCAAACCTGAGGTGGATCAGTGCCCTCCATGTGTCTGAAACTAAGTTCAAGGGCTTGTTAAATAGACAAGCACTTACTCATTGCATTCAGTTCCAATTTGCTTCTCTTGATGAAGTTGAGTATGAGCAGCCCAGCTCTTTTGAATGTGTTGCTGTACTTCAGGATACAACATTGCCTGCTGATATTCAGAAGTTGTTAGACCTATATGAAGATGTGTTTCAGACACCAACTTCATTACCACCACCTAGACCATTTGATCATCAGATTCATCTTATGCCTGGAGCTCAACCAATCAACATCAGACCATATAGATACTCACCCATTCAAAAGGATGAAATAGAGAAGCAACTTACAGAAATGCTGCAGAATGGTATTATAAAACCTAGCTCTAGTCCTTATGCATCACCTGTACTACTAGTTAAAAAGAAAGATGGCTCCTGGAGGTTTTGTGTGGATTACAGGCATTTAAATGCTCAGACAGTAAAAAACAAACATCCTATGCCTGTTGTTGAAGAACTGTTGGATGAGCTCAAAGGTGCTAAATGGTTTACTAAGTTGGATCTGAGAGTTGGATATCACCATATTTGTGTGGAGGCTGCTGATACTTATAAGATTGCATTCAAAACTCACAGTGGGCTTTATGAGTTCTTAGTGATGCCATTTGGCCTAACTAATGCTCCTATAACTTTTTAGAGTGTCATGAATCTGATTTTTGCTCATCTTCTCAGAAAAGGAGTGTTAGTATTCATGGATGATATCCTCATTTATTCAGCATCACTTTCAGAGCATATTTCTCTGCTACAGCAAGTCTTTGACATCTTGAGAGCCAACCAGTTCTATGTCAAATTGTCTAAGTGTTCATTTGCCCAGCAAGAGGTTGAATACCTGGGTCACACTCTCTCTGGTGCTGGGGTATCCACTGAAGCTACAAAAATTCAGGTGGTTGAGTAGTGGCCTGTTCCAAAAACTGTGAAGGATCTTAGGGGATTCTTGGGACTCACTGGATATTATTGAAGGTTTATCAAACATTATGGCCTCATTAGTAGACCCTTGTCTGACTTATTGAAAAAGGGGTTCCATTTGTCTAGACATCAGTGACTGAATCAGCCTTTCAACAGTTGAAACTAGCTCTAGTTCAAGCACCAGTTTTGGCCCTGCTTGATTTCCAAAAACCTTTTGTGCTGGAAACAGATGCTAGTGATGTTGGTTTTGGGACTGTTCTGATGCAAGAGAATCATCCAATAGCTTACTTGAGCAAGGCTGTGAGTGGGAAGAATCAAGCATTATCTACATATGAGGAGTGCTTGGCTATAATCTTGGCTATTGAGAAATGGAAATCTTATCTCCAACATCAGGAGTTTACAATAAGAACTAATCATAAAAGTCTCTTGCATCTCACTGAACAGAGGGTGACATCTAAGATACAACAGAAAGCTATTTTCAAGTTGATGGATCTTCAGTTCAAAATAGTATATAAACAAAGCATTTTAAATTTGGCAGCTGATGCCTTATCCAGATGTCATGAGACACCCATAGTCTGTGCAGTATCTTCTTTATATACTGAATGGGTAGATAAGATAAAGATGGGCTATCCTGATGAGCCTCAAGCTGTCAGGCTATTGTCTGAATATCCAACAAAAGAACCTCAGTTCAAAAACTTTACTGTGGAAGATGGCCTGATCAGGCAGCATGGTAGACTATGGTTGGGGATCAATAAGTTAGCTCAGCAACACACCATTCAAGTAGTACACAGCTCTGGGGTGGGGGGCCATTCTGGTGTCCTTCCTACTTATCATAGAATTAAGCAGCTGTTCATCTAGCCTAAGATGAAAGATGATATTCAGACATACATATAGCAGTGTACTGTATGTCAGCAAGCAAAGGTGGATCATACAAAGTCATATATCAGGCATGGAAAGTAGTGTGCATGGATTTCAAAGAAGGGATGTTGTTGGTATTTATTAACTTACCACTTGTTTTAGTAGTCACCTAATATATGCCTACATCTCTTAACATTATTACCAAGTTGTCATCCCTAGTGATGGTGCTAGAAATGCTTGTTGGTACTACGTAGCATTACTAATAGAATAATATTAAATAGTTCTTTATTAATTTATGTGACTATGAGGAATATATAGATATGAATGAAAAGGAATCTACAAGCGCACAGATAATTATACCATTGTAGCACTTCACCCGAGAGTATTCCAGGTATCGTTATTTATATTTTTACCACAGGAAAGGTCTAGCATGGACAAGTATTGATAACTTATACTATTGATAGAAAAGTAAACCATAACCAATATTCTACTCATAACAGGGGTAAGTCATAGGATAAGATATATATATGATAAGTATTGATCAATGATAATGATAAATCACTCAGAGTACCCCTTTCTATGGCATTAGCATGGTCAGGTAGAATATTAGAGGAATAATTTCTAAGTAATT